ATTTTTAAAATGTCACTTTACAGAAACAGCATGTACCATTCTGACATTACAATGGTGGATTTGGTAGGTGTGCCGAGGCCAAGCAGTGGGACTGGACACAAGGTTGGTGATCCAAAGAGTGCTGAATGTTTGCCGCACATGCTTAAAAATGCAGAGAGTAATGCTGAACTTGAGAGTTTAGATGTAGAGTCTCCAGTCATTGAGCATCTCCAAGTGAACAAAGTACCTATGATTTGCCAACGGACCTACAGAGCTCATGGATTAACTCATACATGATCTCTCCCTGCCGCATCGAAATGATCTTTAGTGAAAAGGAACAACTTGTTCTTACACCAGAAGAGGAGGTTGCCCAGAAGAAAAAGATATCCCAGAAGAAACAAAAACTTACGGCACAGAAGTAAATTCAGCGTTAAAATAAATGCAATTAAAAGTGAAAAAGAAAAGTTTTCTCAAGAGCAATACAAAAATTTAAATACGTAAAGCATGTGATCACAGTCAAGAAGTCTCAATCACCTCTAAATAGATCATCTATAGCAGGATCACCTATGGGGTGGGTAAGGTGGGACAGAGTCCAGGGAAAGGGGGATTGGTGAGTTTAAGTGTCTGATTCCATTAAATTCCTTATTAAGGCCAATCATAATACACTACATGTTTTGTATAAGCTGTACCTTTAGTATACTCATGGACTAGAAAAAAGAAGTATAGACCTTACTAAGTTTGGTAAGAAATAGGGTTGATACATCTATTGAAAAAGCTTCCTTTGGATTGAAGCTGCAAGAAACAAGAATAAAAATTTTAAAGGAAAAAGCTGTACATGAAAAAATGTTTCTATCTTAACAAAAAACTAATTCAGTCCTGTTGAATCTTTATAGTACTCAGCAAGCAAATGAAAATAATTTTATGGAATCAGTGTTTTAAATACCCGTATCATTTGCACTACTCTCAGATAAAATGACATATGTTTAAATATTAGTAAAGAAAACAATTTTTACGAGTTTTTCTATTTTATGACAGCAAAGACAAAATAGTGCCATGTATTAAATCAGCACAACTTTATATCTTTGAAATAAAATTACTGAAATTTTTCTTACCTTAAATCAGGCAAAGGTGAAGGATTAATAAAAAGATTTTTAAATCTGTAATTTGTAAATCTGGAGAAATCACTTGTTCCTATTTCTTTGTGAGGTGTTTCAATGATAATGCAAGGACTGATCCCCCCAGATAGTACAGGTGGCCAACAATTCTGTCATTAAAAATAAAGAAGAATATCAATTTGTGCAAGGAAAACCTTAGTTTTTATAATGGATCTTTTATAAATGAAAGCTAATATGTCTAAAGAATTGTAATTTTAGCTAACATAGATGGCAATATAGCTAATTTGACATTCATATTTTATAAACAAGCCATATAACTCATGTTGATTTTTATAGAGTAACAGGATGTTTTAGACAACAAAATGCAATTCTGGTAATAGAAGACACTAGGTGTTGAAGGAGGCAGTAATAACAAAATGCATCCGTAGTCTAAAATACTAATCACTTTCAAGATCACAGAATCGCAGTTCTCTGTATCTAGCAATAGTAGCAGGGACCTTTTTTTTTTTTTTTTTTTTTTTTTTTCAAATAGCTCTTTTGAAAACAAGTGTGCTCTGATACTTTTGAATATTTGAAGGCAAAACCTTAAAAATGGAATCAATTACTTAAAGGATCCTTTTCCCAATAATGCTGGTTTCAAAGGCAATCACTATCTCCAAAGTGCTTTCTGTAAAACACATAGGAAGAAGAGGTACCAAAGGGCTGCGTGCCAGGCTGTCAATGATCTCACATCCTATTTATGCCCAAGAAGCAGCTATTAGGACCGTCTACTAGAGTCTGCGAGGGAACAAAGAGCAGTATATTGGACAGATTAGGCGGGCCCTGGTGCACCAGGCAGTTCCAAGAGGGAGGGATTTACAAAAAGGAACCAGCTGCTTGAAGACACTTACTCTGCAGCTGCAGTAGGATTCGGGCACATAGAAACCACCCAAAGATAAGCGCCTTCCTGCTGACCTCTAGGGGCATTAAAAGTAAAAGTGTCAGAGGAATCTACTGGAAAGCAATAAACACATAATTCTATTCTTATTCGTCTATCCTCCATTTTCCCCCCAAACCCACCCAGTCCAGTTCTGCATTACCCTAATTTCATACTGATGTTTCTTGGTGACCTCCTCTCTTCTTTTTTTGACATCCTGGAAAATACAAAAGACTATTGGTAAACTGAAGTCCCAGCATGGCATTTCGTTCCTCCCTCTTTCTCCTTAAATCACCTGGGTTGTTTTCCTCTTCTTGGCCTGGATTATCTGGACTTCTTGGGGTGATTCCGTCTGGCTGGGCTGGGGCTGCTGCTTAGCTTGTAAACGGCTACTGTGGTGAATTTTTAAAAAGGAAGTGTAATTAGTAAGTTAAAGGCGGCAACTAATTTGAAACATGTCTCTAAGACAGATGTTACCTTCGTCTTGACATTCTCTTCTTTCAGGTGTGTAAAACCTCTGAAGGGGGGAGAGGAAAAGCCGCAGTCAAGTACATTGTCATTCACATTCTCCAAGTGCTGATTTGGAGGTGAAAGCTCAGTCCCTCCGAAGGGGGCCTGGGCCGTGTGACCCTGCCATCTTCTGTGCTGTTAGCTAGCTCATGGTAATTCATTTTGGATACACGCCTGCATTTTCTTAACTGAATGTACAGCCGGGACGCGGGTGTCCAAAAATTTACCAAGCACTCCTGGCACCTTGAACGCGTAGGGAGGCACATCTTCCTTAAACGGGTTTTTCTGGGTCCTCCACCCTCTCCCCCGTACACCGGGAGTGGGGCTTGGGTAGCGCCCCCGCGTCCCGCCTTCCATCCTGGACGAGCGCGGAGAGGGGGTTGTGGAGGCAAAAGGCTGTGGAGAAGCCGGTTCCGCGCCAATTTGGAGAGCGGCGGTGGCGGGGAAGCAGGGGGCGGAGGAACCGAGACTGGTGTCACGGCCTTCAGTCTCCTTTCCCTCCTTCCCGGTCCCGCAGCCCTACCGCCGCTCGGAGAGGCGCCGGGACCCCAACTCCAGATGGGAAGCGGGGGGCGGGGAGGAGGGCAGGAAAAGGAGCTAAAGAAAGGGGAGACTGGGCTGGCCGGGAACTTTTCTCCCCATGGAGGGGACCCGGCCTCCCATTCTCTCTCCCACGGGATAGCTCCCTAAATGAGGGTGGGATAGAGAAGCCCCTAGAATGAGGGGCGGCTCTCCATGCCCTGCCGCTTCCCGGCCCCCTGCCAAGATTCCTGACAGGGACGGAACGCGGGCACCCTTGACCCCCAGCCGTCTAGTTCTCAGCCCTCCCGTTTTTCCTCCCTGAGGCTCCCGCCTGTGGTAAGGGATCGGCCCAACTGGGCTTTCTTTCCTCCCGCATCCCCCCTTCGCGCAGCACCTCCTCACCGCCAGACCCGCTACCGCTCGGCTCAGCTGGCGCCGGCGCCAACACAATATATAGGCCGGGCCGGGCCCGCCCCACACGCATGCGCCTCAGACTGACACCTCCGGACAGCGCGCTCCCCTCTCCCGCCCGTCCGCCCGCGCGCCCGCGCGCCGCGGCCTGCTTTCAGTGCGCGCCCGCCACCCGGAGCGGCTGTGGGGTGCATTCTCCCAGGCCTTCGGCCTGCGTCCACCGCGCTCCACGGCGCGGCCAGCGGCGGCAGGGAAACTCTCAGGGGCTCCTTCTCCGCGGCTGGCCTCCCCACCGCCCGGCTCCCGCATCTCCCGCCAGTTTGCTCTTGCTCCCTCCCACTGCATTTCGGGGGTATCAGGCTGCAGCTCAGCCCGGGCGCATAACAGGGCGACGTGACTCGGGCGACTATAGGGTGGCTGGGAAGTGACCGTCCTGGGGCGCGCCCTAGCTGTCCCGCCAAGGCCTCAGGGAACCCGGGTCTTTCCTGAGCGACGCGGGGACCCGAGGGCCCGCCCCTCGGGGAGGAGAGAAGCGTTGGCTGAAGAGCTGGCCAATGAGAAGCGCGGGCGGCAGCACAACGTGGAGTGGCTGCAGAATGTAAACATCGCTCAGTAGCGCGCAGAGCCACGTGCGGCTCTGCGCTCCTCAGTCCCGGCCCGCAACCACTCAGAGCCCACTCCGCCAGCCCTGCGCTGCACACTCAGGGAAGGCATCTCCAGCCCGCCTACCCAGGTATGTATCAACCCTGTTTTCCGGCTCCCTGCTCCCCCTACCGGGTTTCTCTCCCCATGGGTGGGTCGCTCCCTCAGCCCGCCGCCCTGCCCCTGCAGTGGCCTCCAGCTGCCACCCCGCAGTCCCCGCGCAGGAAACGCTCGCGCCACGCCGCGCCCTCCCTTGTTCCCTCTCTAGTCCCCACCTCCAATTCCGGGGTCCCCGAGGGTAAAACCCCTCTTCGGAGCGGAGCCCGAGAACGGCATTACCCCTCCCCATGAGCGCGGTGGTCCCCGGGGACATGGCCGGGTGGGAAGAACGGTCGCCACCACGTGCAGGCCCCGGGCCTGCCTGCCGCCCCCCGCCCCGCCGCCGCCGCCAGCGCGCCCTGCGGAGCCCGCGCGAGCCGGCAGCGCGGGAGGGCGCCGTTCGCGCCCGAGCGCTGTTGGGAGGAGGCGGGCCCGACGCTCTTCCTTTACCGTTCCCGGAGTGTTTAAACTTAGGGGTCCCTTCGCTGCCTCTATGAATGCCCCCACAACTAGCGCACCCCAAAACTGCACATCATCAAGTCAGACTTGCGGCGGGTATTCCGCAAAGAGGTTTTGCGGCGGGAGCAGCGAGGCGGGGAACAGATCTGGGAACAAAGATCCCCCGGGTGGAGGAGCAGTGCGAAGCCCTCTCGGAGACCCGCGGCAGCTCGGGCGGGCCACGTCTGCCCCGGCCCTGAGCGAGCGGGAGGGCGAGCGGGCAGCGCCGGGGAGACGGAGCTGCGCGGGCGGGAGCCCTTCCCGAGATGCACCGGGAGGCGGCGCCCGGCGACCCCGGCTCCCGCCCGGTCTTTTGTGCTGCGCCGCTGGAGCGCGCTTGAGGCCCGGAAAATAGCCGCCGCCGGACGGTCGCTTTGGGGCGGGCGAAGTCCTTTTCCACACTTTTTCCATTCTTCGTCTCGTGACGCCGACAAAGTAATTGTTTCTCTCCCTAATTTACCTGTAAGAGCTTTGCCCAAGGTGACAGCATCAGGAGAAGTTCATGCCTTGTCAGTCCCGAGAAACTTTCTGCCATTTCTAACGATTAGGATGGCTCTGGGCTGTGCAGAAGTTGCCTCCCTTTTGCAGTCACTCAAAACGCAGTTGCCGGTATAGCTAGCTTAAAGGTCCAACAGCATGATGTCAAGAAGAGGGGTCAGGGGTCTCCCAACAAGCGTCACCTGATAGTGAGCAGAACTGGTGGCCCTCGTGGTTGAATTTGATTAAATGTACTGAAAACCAGTATGTCGAGCGACGTTTGTGGGATTCATCTTTGAATGATGAATGTATGCTCAGTACTGAGTTAACTAGTAAATTGGTTTTAAAAGACACTGCTCTTATAAATGTCCTTTGCCATACTCTTGGCTATTATGTGAACAGAATACAATCATAGTAAGGGAGAAATTAGAAAATTCCAAGACTTCTTTGTGTGGAGAGGAATAGAGTGAATTCTCCCATTTTACAGGTACCTGGTCAGTAGACAAGTGGGTCTGTTAAAAAAAGAGAAAATAAAGGGCGGGGGGCGGGTATGTTTGTTTTTAGCTTGCTTTTTTCCTACTTATCCGTTTTAAAATTCACCTAAAGTATTTTCCCCTATTGTACATGTAAAGTTAAAACACCATGGTAAATAAACTGTTGGCCTCTACCATGCTTCCTTGGGGTAACTGTTTTGATTGCTCCGACATTCATTTTCAGGAGGAAAAAACCCCAGAAGATTCTTGGAGGCACAGGCTTAAAAAAAAAAAAATTCAGGCTTAGCCCACCCATTTCTTTATTCTGTACATTTTCTTTAGTATATCTCCTCTGTCGAAGCTTCACAGATCCTTTTCTCTGTGCTACAGTTATGCTCATCTTACAGGACAAAAATTAAATGTCTTTTATTTCCAACTAGGCCTCGGAAATTGTTTTGTTCACCTTTTTATAGCCAGTATTCAGCAGTTCAAAGGCATAAATAGTAAGATTTGGGTAAATGCTGGTTTGAATTATGTGTAGGATATCCCATTACAAAACTTTAAGTCTCTAGGTTACCATAATGGATGATAGATGGATGGTGGAATTATTCCCAGTAAATATCAGACTCTTAAAAACATTAATAGACTCTATTTTTTAGAACAGTTTTAAAGAAAAATTGATCAGGTGGAGCAGGACTTGCATATACCCACTCCCGTCTCCCACCCACCACACATGCACAGTTTCCCCTGTTATTGACATCTTATAGTATGGCACATTTATTACCCTATGATGTGTTTGCTATTAATGAATCAATGTCGATGTGTTATTATTAACTATAAGTCCATACTTTATTCCAGTGTCTTTAGTTTTTACCTAATATCTTTTTACTGCTCTAGGATCTTATCCAGGATAACCATAACATTTAGATGTCATGTCTTAGGTTCCTCTTGGCCATGGCAGTTTCTCAGACTTTTCTTGTTTTGATGACCTTGACAGTTTTGAGGAGTGCTGGTCAAGTATTTTGTAGACTAACCATGAGACAAAAACATCAGATAAATTCCAGTAGAGGAGTTGACTGGGGTTATGGGTTTGGGGAGGAAGATTATAGAGATAAAGTACCATTTCCATCACATCATACTAAGAGTTCATACCGACATCATGATTTATTACTATTGATGTTGATCTTGATCACCTGGCTGAGGTAATGTTTGTCAGGTTTCTCCGTTGTAAAATTATTCTTTTTTCTCCCTTTCCATACTGTGCTCTTTGGAAGGAAGTCACTGTGTGCAGCCCACACCTAAGGAGTGAGGAGTGATCTTTTTTAGGGTGAAGTATCTGTATTATTTTAATTTATTCTGCATTAGAGATTTGTCTCTTCTTCCCCATTCATTAACTTAGTCATTTATTCCTATCAGTATGTACTCATGGATATTCATTTTATAATTTGAATTATAATTCAATAATACTTTTATCTTGTTGGTTAGATTGTTCAAAACTTTCACCAAGGTATTTTTCACATGGTTTTATTGTCATGAGACTCATTTGAAGCTAAGCAAAAATGAATGGTGCTTAATGATAATCAGTATTTCTCACGTAACAAGAAAGGAATAAAACATTTTCTTCCCATTTAATGAAACTTGCTTATCCTTCATGCTTATCTAAAACATACCTAAAGGAAAAAAACACTTTGTATTTTAGTAGAGATGAGGTTTCACCATGTTGGTCAGGCTGGCCTTGAACTCCTGACCTCAAATCATCTGCCCGCCTCGGCCTCCCAAAGTGCTGGGATTACAGGCAGGAGCCACTGCACCTGGCCAATTTTTAAAATTAGAATCAGGTGAGGTGCAGTTTTAAAAACAATTTTATTGTTAAAATACATTTTACTATAAGATAGTTTTGACTTCACATACTATGTGGGTCATTGGGACCTCTAGATGTCCACAGAACACACTTTGAGAACTGCATAGATAGTTGCCCAAACCAGAATCCTGGGAGTGAACTTAGTCATTCCTTTCTTCTTTTTTTCTGAGCTCCATAATCATAGTTAATATTTCCTGGGTAAGATAGTGTGCTAGGCTGTACCCCAAGCCTTCACATACTATTCACTCCTTCAGTCTTCCACCAACACTATGAGACAGGTGCTAGTGACTATCATTCCTGGTTTATAAATGAGGAAGCTGAGGCACAAGTGTAGTTTGCCCAAGATCCACAGTAGAGTCTAACTCCAGCTCCCCTGTGCTGTGCTGCCTCCGTTTATCACCAAATTCCTTTCTGTTCTGTTTCCAAGTCATTTCCGTATTCATGCTTTATTTCCCTCTGCCTTATTTCAGGACACCATTCTCTCTTCAGTGCAATACTCTTCTAACTGGTTTTCCTGACATGCATTGCCCCTTGCCGTCTGCCTTCCAACCTATTGACAAACTGCCCTTCCAAAGCACAGATGCCACTCCTTAAAACCTTTCTATGCCTCCAGTTGGATTAACAGTCAAACCCCAAAACTTAAACACACAAGACCTCTTGCGCCCAGGAGATCCCCCTACATGGAGCTCTCCACATCCCCTGCCCTTCTTACCTTGGGACCTTTGCACCTGCACCTAATTCTCCCTACCTCCATTGCCTTTCCCCAGCTAGATCCCATTTATTCATTAATACTCAAACACTGCCTTTTCTAGAAAGTTGTCTTGCCCTGTTCTGAAGTAGGACTTTCCTTTATACCATCTGTTCTCCAACTTATGCTTGCCTCTACCCCTGCTTGTGTCTGCCAGGCTGTAGGGAGCCCCTGAGGGCAGGGGCTGTCACTTTCAGGGCTGGCTTGCGGCCTGGTGGACCCCAGCCCTCTTTGTGGAATAAATAGAGGGGAGGGGGCAGAAGTGTGCTCTTGGGGTGGCCCTTGGAACCTAACTCCAGGAAACACTTCCTTGAAAGAGCTTCGCAGCTGGCACCTTGGAGGGCTCAGCAGGGTGGCAGCAGAGCACTGCCTCTGCTCCTGAGCTCTGAGTACACCAGAGGCACCAGGGAGTCTAGGCAGATGAGCCTCTGGCTCTGCCAGCGCTGCGCTTGGCTGCCTCCTCAGAGGGAGGGCCCTTAAGAAGGAAGGCATTGTAGATTGTGAGACATAGACAGCACACCTCAGAGATGGTCAGTTCAGCTCCTTCATGATTCCTGAAACTCCACAGTGAGGAGAGAGAACAGAAAAGTTGGGCAGTGATGGAAATCCAGAAGCTCTGGGAGGTTGGAATAGGTGGGAGGGCACAGAGTGCTCTGGCCGGGGCCCTGCTCTCCACTGAGGAGGATGTGGAAGTCACCAAGAAACACTGTTCTCTGTCCCCAGAGCTTGAGTTCTGTTGGACTGGGGAACAGAGGATAAATGTGGAATGGATAACTATTGTTAAGCATGATGCAAAAGAAAAGATGATATGGCGGAGGGGACTGCAGGGGCAGGGAGTGATCTGGGGAGGACTCACAGAGGAGGTGACATTTTATTTAGTTCAATCATTAATTCAACAACACTAGGGCACAGTGAAGCTAACAATTCCTGCCCTTTAGAGCTTAAATCTAGTGTAAGGGAGGGGGAATGTCATAGAAACTAATAAATATGTCAGATAGTAATAAGAACTAAGATGAAAAATAGGAGCAGGGTAACAGATAACAGGAGATGCTATGTTAGCTCTTCAGGGAAGGTCTCCTGGTGAGACATTTGAGCAGAGAACTATGAAGAGAGAATAAGCCGTGCAGATAGGAAGGAAGAACTTCCTAAGCAGAGGAACAGAAAGCCTGGAGGACCTTGGCATATTTAGTGCACAAGGAATTTTGTATGGCTGGAATGTAGTGAGCAAGGGGGTGATGGCAGGAGATGCAGTGGGAGAGAATGTTTTAAAAGCATCCAGCTGGCTGCTTTGTGAAGCATAGACTCCAGCAGGGGAAAAGAGTAGAAGCAGGGAGACTGGATAGGAGATGGGTGCAATGCAGGGAAGGGGATGGTTTGTGGGAGCAGGCTGGGTGGTGGAAATGGGGAGAAGCACACAAAGGATATACGCTGAAAGTAGAGCTGTGCTGATGGATAGATTGAGGCGACAGAGACAAGTAAAAGGCAAGCAACTAGATGGGTGAATGGCTGTCACTCAGAGGAACAGCTGTGGGGTAGGACAGAATCAGGAGTTGGTTTTGGACAGGTTAAATGTTTTAAAATTTCCTCTACGTTTTATTGTTATTATTTTGAGACAGAATCTTGCCCTGTCACCCAGGCTGGAGTGCAGTGGTGAGATCTCAGCTCACTGCAACCTCCACCTCCCAGGTTCAAGCGATTCTCATGCCTCAGCCTCCCAAGTAGATCATATTACAGGCATGCCATCACCATGACTGGCTAAGTTTTTTTTTTGTTTTTTTTTTTGTATTTTTTGTAGAGTCAGGGTTTCGCCATGTTGACCAGGCTGGTCTTCAACTCCTGGCCTCAAGTGATCCGCTGGCCTCAGCCTCCCAAAGTGCTGGGATTGCAGGCGTAAGCCACTGTGCCCAGCCTATTATGAAAAATTTTAAACATCCAGCAAAGTTGAAAGGATTTTATAATGAATACCCATATGCCATACTACCTACATTCCACTATCAGCATCCACTATGCTTGCTTCATCACAGATCTCTCTATCTATCCATCCATGATTCCATCTTATTTTCTGGTGCATTTCAAAAAAAAAAACAAACAAACAAAAAAACGGTATATATCAGTACACATCTCCCTAAGTACTTTAGCATGCATAGCATTAGCAGTTCAATATGAAATGTATAGCCTGGGCGTGGTGGCTCCCACCTGTAATCCCAGCACTTTGAGAGGCCAAGGCAGGTGGATCACTTGAGACCAGGAGTTCAAAACCAGCCTGGCCAACATGGTGAAACCCTATCTAAAAAACAAAAATTAGCTCAGCATGGTGACCCACCCATGCCTGTAATTCCAGTCACTCCGGAAGCTAAGGCACAAGAATTGTTTGAACCCAGGAGGTGGACATTGCAGTGAGCCCAGATCATGCCATTGCACTCCAGCCTGGGTGACAGAGTGAGGCCCTGTCTCAAAAAAAGAAAAAGAAAAGATAAATCTTAGGTATATAATCTTAATAAATAGACTTGTGGAACCCAAACTCTTGTCAGGTTGTGAAACATTACCATCACAGTGTTTTTGAATTTCATTCATGTTGTTGCATGTATCAGTACTTTGCTCCTTTTTATTGCTTAGTATTCCATTGTATGGATATATGCTACACTTTGTTATTTTTAAATTATTAGCTATTGTGAATAAAGGCATTGTGAACATTCTTGTATGTCCACAAGGAAGCCTTTTTATGGACATACATACATTTTTTTTTTTTTTTGGGATGGAGTCTCACTCTGTCACCCAGGCTAGAGTTCAGGGGCACCATGTCAACTCACTGCAACCTCCTTCTCCTGGGTTCAAGCAATTCTCCTGCCTCAGCCTCCCTAGTAGTTGGGATTACAGGCACCCACCACCACGCCCAGCTAATTTTTATATTTTTAGTAGAGACTACTAAATGGGGTTTCATAATGTTGGCCAGGCTGGTCTTGAACTCCTGACATCAGGTGGTCCGCCCGCCTTGGCCTCTCAAAGTGCTGGAATTACAGGCGTGAGCCACCGCGCCCAGCCCGTGTTCATTTCTTTTGAACATATACCTAAGAGTGGAATTGTGAGGTCACAGGCTAGGTATATATTTTATTTTGAGAACTAATAGGGACTGGGTGCAGTGGCTCACACCTATAATCCCAGCACTTTGGGAAGTGGAGATGGGAGGATTGTTTGAGCCTAAGAGTTCGAGACTACCCTGGGCAACCCTCGCTCCACAAAAAATAAAGAAGTTAGCTGGGTGTGGCGTTGTGCCCCTGTGGCCCTAACTACTCAGGAGGCTGAGGTGGGAGGATCACTTGAGCCCAGGAGGTCGAGGCTGCAGTGAGCTGAGATTGCACCACTGCACTCTAGCCTGGGCAACAGAGAGAGACCCTGTCTGGAAAAAAACAAAGAAAACAACAACAAAACCGGCATAGTTACAATGAAGTACAGCCATGTGTATCAACCAGGATAAATCTCAGAAACAATGTTTTTCAAAAACAAAAGCAAATTATAGGTCGTGTTCAATTTGATAAATGGTATATTGAAATTTGAAAGCATGTGATACAAATTACATGTAGTTGTAGATACATACTTATGCAGTAATAGCATAAAAGCATGCTTCACCAAAGTAGTCATCAATTTCAGGACAGTGGCATCTTGGGTGGGGGGAGGTGATGAATGAGATCACAGGGGTTTATAATAGACTTCGGCTATA